TTCTAGAAAGTAACCTGATGCCACTTTCCAGTGAATCCCCACTGTGTGGCCACCTCCTCATCTCTGCTCACCAGAGGCGATCACTGTTCTGACTTCAGTCATTATAGATTAGTTTGGCCTGTTTTTAAACTTCATATACATTGATTCATATAGTACATAATCTTTTGTGTAAGGCTTCTTTCACCCAAACATCAGGAAAATGTTTATGAGATTTATTCATTTATGTGCTATATGTGCCCTTAGTTTATTCCTTTTTATTGCTGAGTAGTATTCCATTGTTTAAATATACCACTATTTGTTTATGCATTCTTCTGTCAATAGACATCTGATCCAGATTGTGGATATCCTTGATGAAGCTTCTATGAATATTCTTGCACGAGTATTTTGGGGACATATGTTTTCATTTCTTTTGGGTAAATACTCAAAAGGAGAATGCTGGTTTAACTTCTTAAGAGACTACTAATTTTCCAAAGTGGTTGTACCATTTTATGCTGCCACCAACAATATGTGAGTTTTCCATTTGCTCTGTGTCTTGTAATTATTTAGAGTTGTCAGTCTTCAATTTTGGCCATTTTAATGGGTATGAAATGGCATCATGCATAGTTTTGATTTACATTTTTCTGATGACTAAATGATCTTGAGCACCTTTTCATGGGCTTATTAGCCATTCATACATCTTTTGTGAAGTGTCTGTTCAGTGTTTTACCCATTTGTAAATTGGTGGTCTTTTATTATTGAGTTGTAGAAGTTCTTTCTACTTCAAATACAAGTCCATTGTCATTGTCATAGGGGTGTTCCTCAGAAAACTGGCTCTGAGAAGGAGATTTGCATGCAGGAACTTTGTGGGAGAGTGCTCTTAGGAATAGCTTGTAAGAGAATGAGCAGGATTAAGTGAAGTTGAAATGTAATTCCGTTAAATAGAGGCCTCAACTCACCCTGCAGCAGGCTCTGAAGCTGGATGGCACTTCAGAATTATCCTGACTTGAGGCAAGGGTGTCAGGCTTTTTACCTCCTTCCACACAGCCCCATTGGGCTAGTTATTGGATATGGGCTGCCCTGGGGGATGGGTTATAACTTCAGGCTAGTCATTTGTCTTTGGCTCAGAGAGACAGACTCAGTCCTGAGCCATCATCATTAGGTAGCACTCCCAGCAGCTGGGAAACAGGTGTCTCTGACCTGAAGGGGTGTAGACAGTGTTACCCCAGCATTCACCACATATGCATGTATTTTCACTACAGATAGCTGTATTGTGAACATTTTCTTTCATTATGTATCTTGTCTGTTTTTATTTTTTCTTGTTTGAGACAGGGTCTCACCCTCCGTTGCCCAGCTGGAGTGCAGTGATGTGATCTCAGCTCACTGCAACCTACACCTCCCAGGTTTAAGCAGTTCTCCTGCCCCAGTCTCCCAAGTACCTGGGACTACAGGCATGTGCCACCACATGTGGCTAAATTTTGTATTTTTAATAGAGATGGGGTTTCACTATATTGGCCAGGCTGGTCTCGAACTCCTGAACTCAAGTGATCTGCCCACCTCAGCCTCCCAAAGTGTTGGGATTACAGGTGTGAGCCATCGTGCCCGGCCTGATCATTTTTTTAATGGATCAGCAAATGTTTTAAATTTTGATGTTGTATTTTTTTCTTTTATGGTTTATGTTTTTCCCATCCTTGCTAAGAAATCTTTGCCAATCCCAAGATTTCAAAGACATTGCCTACATCTTCTAGGAGCTTTTGAGTTTTAGGTCTTATATTTGGTATATAAAACACAAACAATTAATATTTGTGTATGATGTAAGCTACCACCCAAATGACTCTTGAGAGCAGTCAGCTCTTTCTCTTTTAAGTACATCACCTTCATCCTTTCTCATTTTCCCTTAATTTGCAAAGCAGGGGTATCTCTCATTTCTGTTTCCCAGAGTAGAGTATACTTAATGCTGACAGGACAGTTTTCTTCCTTAACAATCTGTCCATTAATTTGAATTATGGAATTATGAAACCAAATTCCTGAAAGGAAATAGTATACTCAGTTCAATTTTCCCCTAATTTTTGTGCTTCCTTAGAATAATACTTTAGATTTATGAATTTTTTAAAAAAAAATAAGGGCGATTTTTATGAAGTCAGTCGTTTGAGAGAATGATAAACAGACTCATTAGTTACTATGTTACCTTCTACACAAAATAGAGCCGGTTTTTCGTTCTACCTGCTCCGACAGTTTCTTTCAAATGAATGTTGTGATTAGCAGTGTTTGGGGAGTTTAGTATATTGGAAAAGACAAAGAAGCTTAGAATAGGTCAGTGTTAAATAGCGAAATAGGTGAGACCTGACGCCTGTAAAAAATATAATAAAGTATAAAATAGTAACACCAGTTGTTTGGTGTCATTTTTCCAAAATACTTCAATTACTTTCTTCTCTTGCCTCTTGTATCTTTATAAGACATGTAAAAATGTTTTATAGAGGAAAAGTTGAGGTACTGAGTCATTAACTGGAATACTCTCAGTTTATAAGTACCTAATAGCCATTTTGAAGTATAAGGGTTGACCTGGCTGTGTACTGGGGATCAGGGGATTCTCCTCTTGCTATATAGCAAGTATTAGTTGGTGTTGACACTGCAGCTTTATTTCCCCCATTTTCAGTAGACACATAGATCCCTTTCCTCCCCTCCAAACAAGGAGGGGGTAATGTTTCAACCAGCCTTTTAGCTAAGAAACTATTTTCCCATAGAGATAATATTTATAAAATCTAGTTAGACCCCAGTCTCTCAGTCAGAAGTTCAGTAGTGTATCTGAGATATGGTAGCTGCTATTTTTGTTAACCAGGAAACAAACAGATGAAGTACGTGATATACCATTAAATTATTGAAACTTTTTCATAAACAACATACATAATTATTCCCTTGTGGTTTTGTTTTCAAAAATGGGGTCTCTTTATGTTGACCAGGCTCGAGTATAATTCAGCAAGATCATAGCTCCCTACAGCCTCAGCCTCCCAGTGTCTGGGACAACAGGTCTGTATTGCCATGCTCAGCTTCTCATAGTTTTTATTATTTTTTGTTTTTTAAAAAACAGTTCTTGTTATGTTGCCCAGGCTGGAGTGCAGTCAGTGGCTATTCACAGATGTGATTGTAGCACACTACAGCCTTGAACTCCTGGGTTTAAGTGATCTTCTGCTTCTACCATCTGAGCAGCTGGAACAGGTGCATACCACTGTGCCTGGCTCCCCTTGTAGTTTTGTTTTGTTTTGTTTTTTTAAGACAGAGTCGCTCTGTCGCACAGGCTGGAGTGCAGCAGCACGACCTCGGCTTACTGCAACATCTGCCACCTGGTTTCAAGTGATTCTCCTTTCTCAGCCTCCCAAGCAGCTGGGATTACAGGTGCGCGCCACCACGCCCAGCTAATTTTTGTAGTTTTAGTAGAGATGGGGTTTTTCCATGTTGGCCAGTCTGGTCTCGAGCTCCTGACCTCAAGTGATCCACCCACCTCATTGTAGTTCTTAAGATCATTTTTCATACTTCCAAGATCCCAGGAAGTCATATTATGGTATTCTGCTGTTTCAAGAAGCTTTGAAATCTAAACTTTTTGTATGACAGGAGGGAGTCTCTCAAACTCGGGTAAAAAGAAAACAATTAAAATTAAGTTGGATTAAAACCATAGAATAATTTTAGCATTAATGTCTAAATACATTTTTTCATCATATGAGTAATACATGTTTATTGTAGATAAATTATAAATGTTTTATATGTTTATTGCAATTATTTATACGTTTTAAGTAAAAATGTGTTAATGTTTAATGTAATGTGTTCTACTTATGTATAAATATTTTTTATAAATATGAGGTTATCATTACATGTTGGTTGCCTTTCCTGACTTCCTATATCCATGAACAGACTTATATCGTAATTTTTAATAGCTGAGTGATGTGGTACTCTGATGAAGTTTATAGTTTATTTAGCCAGTCTCCTTTACTGGACATTTATTTTTAGGTTTGCATTCGTAAAAAGCACAATGGTCATCTTTGTACAATTCTTTCTTAGGGTGAATTCCTAGAAGTAAAATTTCTGGATTAAAGAGTTTGCATTTTTGAGGCTTTAAATCTAAATGCCAAATTGTGGTCCAGATATGTTGTAGCAATTCACATTCCTTCTAGTGTTAAAGTGTACGTGTTCTCCCTATCATGGATAGTAGATGTTTTCTTAACTGATTGTTAACTTGGTCATTTAAAAAATTTCATCTCAGCCAGGCGTGGTGGCCCATGCCTGATCCCAGCACTTTGGGAGGCTGAGGCAGGTGGGTCATGAAGTCAGGAGGTCAGGACCAGCCTGGCCAACATGGTGAAACCCTCTCTGCACCCAAAATACAAAAATTAGCCAGATGTGCTGGCGGGTGCCGGTAATCCCAGCTACTTGAGACAGAGAATTGCTTGAACCCAGGAAGCAGAGGTTGCAGCGAGCCAAGATCATGCCACTGCACTCCAGCCTGGGCAACAGAGCAAGACTCTGTCTCAAAAAAAAAAAAAAATCATTTCAGCTGGGTGTGGTGGCTCACGCTTGTAATCCTAGCACTTTGGGAGACCAAGGCAGGCTAATCACCTGAGATCAAGAGTTTGAGACCAGCCTGGCCAACATGGTGAAACCCCGTCTCTACCCAAAATACAAAAATTAGCCAGATGTGGTGGCATGTGCCTGTAATCCCAGCTGCACAGGGGCTGAGGCAGGAGAATCTCTGGAACCCTGGAGGTGAAGGTTGCAGTGAGCCAAGACACCTCACTGCACTCCAGCCTGGGCGACAGAGCAAGACTGTCTCAAAAAAAAAAAAAAAAAAAAAAAAAAAACCTCTTTGTTTTAATTGGCGTTATTCATGAAATTGATCATTTTTCATCTTTACTGTCTACGGTAGATGTTGGTCTCACGAATGAGCAGCTCACAGTCTTGATTACAGGTACTTCAGAAACTTTTTCCCATTCATTAATCAAAGTTTACAATGATTTCTTTTGTTTTCTGCCCAGGAGCGACTGAAGCTGGTGACTGTTTTGGGTGCTGGACTTCTCTGTGGAACTGCTCTGGCGGTCATCGTGCCTGAAGGAGTACATGCCCTTTATGAAGACATTCTTGAGGGTGAGAAAGAGAAGAGCCTTATTTGAGATATGTTATTGACTTGGAGGGGCAGGATGAAGCTTAGTGGTATATTTTCTGAGCACAGTTCATGTTTACCGTAAATTCTACCCTGAGAAGAATTGTTGAGAGATATCTTGCTGTCTTTGATATTGAACACGTCCTTAGCAGTTTGTGAATTGAATGGCCCAATTCATGAATACCACTTAATGTTTATTTGCCATAGTGCATGAATATGAGTCATTTTAAGTTATGACAGTTCTTTTTTAATGCTTACTCAAACACTTCCCAAATCCCACATGATAGTGGTTGCATTTTTTTTATTTAAAAAACATATAGATATAAATATTTAAGGACCCTTTACAGTAAACTTTATAGATAATTGGTGAGGACCCATGCAGTAAAAGATACCTGTAACTGAAAAATTAAAGAAGCCTTTCCTGACCTTAATAGCAACAAGCAGAGGAAACAGTATAGTTATGTGAGAGTAAATGCTTGGTGGTCAGCTTGGTTCACTCACCAGCAAAGTAATTTGGTCCTTCACACAGCCGAGAAGCATACTTGATTCACATTTGCGACTCAGCAAAATCAGATTACATTCATGACCACATTGTCATGAAACTTCACAGTTACCTGTGAAAGATTGACACCACAGCTGTTAAATCTGTGAGCTGAATCCTCAAGTACCAAGAGTTTACCAGATGTTAAGAATAGTATAAAGAAGTAGGCACTTCCAAATTTCTTACAAGATACAATATAATATATACTTTTTCAGATCTTGGTAGAGGAAAATAACTGTGTCCTTTATCCAGAATGATGATGCCCTTAGGCCTGGGGTTTGATGGGTGAAATGTTGTGGCAGATATAAATGAGGATTGCAAGATAGGACAGGGGCTGAGGAGTGGTCAGCTGTATTGGGGAGCCTTAAAGCAGTGATCTCTACTTTTTTATGGTCATACATCCTACGGGGTGGGGGAATGATTTACATGCACTATTGCACTGATTTAATGTGTACATTATAAAATACACTCCAAAAATGGGAATATTTTTGAGACCTGAGATTTAAATATACATAGAAGATCTGTATTTTCTTTCATATCCTAGTGAGCCATCTTGAATTTTTCTGAGATGTGATTCCACTATAGAAATCACTATCCTAATATTTGGCTTTTTATGGGTGGCAGTTGTTTTCTAAACTTGTGTGATAATGATTTCCTTATCATTTCTTCGAGGAAGAGGTGCATTTTAAAAGTGTAATTTACTGACCACCAGCCTAGATTCCTTAATCAATCTCCAGGGAAGGATCCTGGGATATCTATTTTTAACAAAATGTCTACGATTTTTATGGAACAAGTTTTGGAAACACTAGAGTAAAGAAGTGCTTCAAGTATAGTTTCTTTGTGTTATTTTTCATATCAATTTGAGATATAATTCATATACCATGTTTCAGGTATAGTTGGGTTTTTTTTTTTTTTTTTGGTATGGTTTTTTTTTTGTTTTGAGGCAGAGTCTCACTCTGTTGCCCAGGCTATAGTCCGGTTTTGCAATCACAGCTCACTGAATCCTCAACTCTCTTGGGTTCAAGCCATCCTCCCACCTCAGCCTCCTGAGTAGCTGGAACTGTAGATGCACACTGCTATGCCTGGCTAATTTTTAATTTTTTTTGTAGAGATAGAGTCTCCCTCTGTTGCCTAGGCTGGTCACCAACTCTGGGACTCAAGCAGTCCTCCCAGCTTGGCCTCCCAAAGTGCTGGGATTACAGGTGTGAGCCACCACCCTCAGGCCAGTTATAGTTTAAGACTAAAATCTTTCCTCCATTCCCAACCCCTGGCAAACCACTGATCTCTACTCTGTCTGTATAGTTTTGCCTTTTCAGAATGTTGTATAAATGGAATCATGTAATCTTTGGGTCTGGCTTCTTATTTAGCATAATGCATTCGAATCTCAGTATATGCAGGGAAAATGTGTATTGTGGAAAAACTCTGCATAGATTTCAAAAACCTTAAAATAAGCTTGCACTGACTTGTTATAACATATCTGAATGGGATCTAGTTAGAGGCACTAAGAAGGTTAAGACAAGGAAAAGAGCCTGTATTGGAGTAACATGAATTCTGCTAAGATTGAAACAAGAACAAACATCAAATTTGTGGGGAAGGTTGGGTGCAAGAATGGAAAAATCATTGATGGTTTACAAAAAGTTTATGGGGACAGTGTTCCAAAGAATTCAGCAGTTTACAAATGGATAACTTGTTTTAAGAAGGGACAAGATGATGTTGAAAATGACCAGCCACATCTATTTTCACAGATTAATTTTATTCATACCGTAAATAAAGAAGACAAAATTAACAGCATAAAAAATAATCAACCCCATAGCCCTCTACATTGGTTCAGCTTACACAATTCGACTGAAAATTTTAAGTTGAACAAACTTTCCACTCGATAGATGTCAAAACTGTTGTGCCCAGATCAGCTGCAGACAAGAGCAGAGCTCTGAATGGAAATGGGATCCAAGTGGGATCAAGATCCTGGAGCATTTTTTCAAAGAATTGTAGCATAAGATGAATCATGGCTTTACGGATACGATTCTGAAGGCAAAGCACATTCAAAGCAATGGCTACCGAACAGTGGAAGTGTCAGTCAAAGCAAAGTGGGTCAGTCAAGAGCAAAGGTCACTGACAGTGTTTGGGGATGTGCAAGGCATTTTGCTTGTTGATTTTCTAGAGTGCCAACGAACCATAACATCTGCATATTATGAGCGGGTTTTTAGAAAGTTAGCCAAAGCATTAGCAGGAAAATGCCCAGGAATGCTTCATCAGAGAGTCCTCCACCATGACAATGTTCCTGTTCATTGCTCTCATCAGACAAGGGCAATTTTGCAAGATTTTCAATGGGAAGATATTAGGCATCTGCATTAAAGTCCTGATTTGACTCCTTCCAACTTCTTTTTGTTTCCTAATCTTAAAATCTACAAAGGGCACCGATTTTTCTTCAGTTAATAATGTAAAAATGACTGCATTGATTGACATGGTTAAATTTCCGGGACCCTTAGGTTTTTAGAGGTGAACTAAAAAGCTGGTATCATTGTTTACAAAAGTGTCTCACACTTGATAGAGCTTTTGTTGAGAAATAAAGGTTATATTTTTTAATTTTTCTAATCTTTTAATTCAATTTTTCAACAAGATTTTTGAAGTCCCCTCATATTGTTCTGTATATCAATAATTTGTTCCTTTTCTTCTGAGTAGTGTTTCATTGTTTGGATCAACCATATTTGTCTATTCCTTCACCAGTTGGAAGACATTTATGCATGGTTTCTGATTTCAGTGACTATGAATAAAGTCACTATGAATATACAGGTTTTTGTATGAACGTGAGTTTTTATTTTTCTTGCAAAAATACTTACAAGTGCCAGCCTGGGCAACATAGCAAAACCCTATACCTACAAAAAATTAGCCACACGTGGTACTGCATACCTGTAGTCCCAGCTACTTAGGAGACTGAGGTGGGAGGATTGCTTGAGCCTGGGAGACGGAGGTTGCAGTAAGCTAAGATTGTGCCACTGCACTCCAGCCTTGGTGACAGAGCCATACCCTGTCTCAAAAAAAAAAAGTGCTGGGTCACATGACAAATATATGTTTAATTTCATAGGAAACTGACAAACTCTTTTTAAAGTTGCTGTAATATTTTGCATTCTCATCAATAATAGATGAAAGTTCCAGTTCTCCCCTTCCTTGTCAACACTTGGTATTGTCTGTTTTGTTTTAGTTTTTTATTTTAGCCATTCTAATAGCAACGTAGTGATATCTCAGTGTGGTTTTAATTTGCATTTCCCTGTGACTAATGATGCTGAACATCTTGTCATATGCTTAATTGCCATTGTTATAGCTTCTATGGTGATATCAAGCATTTTGCTCATTTTAAAAATTGAGTTTTCTTATTATTGAGTTTTGAGAGTCCTTTGTGTATTCTAGATACAAGTCCTTTATCAGATACATGTTCTGCAAATATTTTCTCCTAGTTGGTGGTTTATCTTTTCATTCTCTTAACAGTATCTTTTAGAGAACAGTTTTTAATTCTGATGAAGTCCAATTTTTCAGTTATTTCTTTTGAGATTGTGCTTTTGGTATCATATCTAAAAACCCCTTGCTGAGCCCACATTCACAAAGATATTCTCTTTCATTTTCCTTTAGAATTTTTATAATTTTCTATTTGACGTTTAGTTCTATGATCTATTTTGATATAATTTTGAATGTAGGTGAAAGTTCATTTTTTTGGCATATGGATTGATGTTCAGTAGTTCCAACATCATTTGTTGAAAAAAAAAATCATTTCTCTATTGAATTGTCTTTGCACTTTTGTCAAAAATCAATTAACTAACTGTATTTGCGTTGGTCTATGTCTGGATTCTCTATTCTGTTTTATTGATTTGTTTGTTTACCCTTTGCAGTACTACATTGTCTTGATGACTGTAGCTTCATAGCAAATCTTGAAATCAAGTAGTGTAGTCCTTTATTTATTTATTTATTTTTTTTTTTGAGACAGGGTCTCACTCTTTCATCTAGGCTGGAGTGTGTAGAGGCATGATGATAGCTCACTGTAACCTCAAACTCCTGTGGTCAAACGATCCTCCCACCTCAGCCTCTCCAGCAGCTAGGACAACAGGTGCACGCCACCATGCCTGGCTTATTATTTAAACTTTTTGTGGAGACAGTCTCACTCTGTTGCCCAGGTCTTGAACTCCTGACCCTAAACGATCCTCCCACCTTGGCTGGGATTATAGGCATGAGCCACCCCACCCAACCCACTTTGTTCTTATTTTTCAAAATTGTTTTGGCTTCCCATAAAATTCTTTGCCATTACATAAAAATTTTTAAATCAGCTTGTCATATATCTACAGAATAAATCATGCTGGCATTCTAACTGAGATTAAGTTGAATCCATAAATTTGGGAGATAATAGACACCTTAAAAATATTGTATTTTCCAATCCATGAGCCCAGTCTCTCC